AGCGCGCGCACGCGCTGCTCGATGTCTGCACACACACGTACAGTATTAAAGTAAATGCTAATACTGTTAATTCTTTGAGATTAATTAATCAGGTTTCGTTCGTTGATCGTAACAGCTAATTCACTAGGATAGATTGTTACCATGTTGCTCGCAGTCTGGCACTGCAGAGTATGCAAGGGTAAATACAAAAGAAAACAAAAGTGTGAAGTGTGAAGTGACAGTGCCGGCCCGTGACATGCCGGCTCGCTGGGCGTGTCTTGGATGTTTCACCCCCTGCTGCGGCCTGCCGGTCAAATTCCGAAACCCGTCCGGAAAAGGTGGCGAGAGTGAGCAAGGAAGAATCCAACCCATGCCAACGTAGTAGGAATTTTTGTCTAAAAGGGACTACTTACCCAGTGCAATTGACAAAAAAGACCGCCTCTAAATCAGATTGGCAGAAAAAACCACCTAGCTCGTGGCGGCAGGCGCGCCAGCCGACACGTGGCGCCTGCCGCCACACGCGGAGGCGGCAGACCCTGCCGCCACAGTCCCAGGCGGCAAGTGGCCTGTCACGCGGAATCATCGGGAGCGGCCAAAACAAGACGGAACGGGATCCGTGGTGGGCCCTGCCGCCACACCAGGAGGTGGCAGTGCTGCTGAGGCCGCGGGTTTGACGGGAGCACGGGCCGAGTATAGCTGCGCTGAGCTGATCACACCTCGTCGCCTGACCGGAGTGCATGCGCAAGGGAGAGGTGCGTGCAGTGCAATGCAGCTTTGCCTAGCTGAACAATCCACCCGTGTATTAATCGCTAGTTGGATTTACCGCTGTAGCTTTTGGGCCTACACTGCCATGCATGCATGTGCTTGCCGTACGTCCTGATTAACCAACGCGGAGCGTCAGCCATGCTGCTGCAGTACACACCGCCTCTGGGCGTGGCGGCATGGGCCGCCGGCCAGCAGTCCATCGCAATTCCCGTTCCGTTGTGTTCTAGCCGATCCCGGCGATTCCTGTGACAGGCAACCTGCCGCCTGGGCCTGTGGCGGCAGGTGCTGCCGCCGCGGCGCGTGGTGGCAGGCGTCACGTGTCCGCTGCCGCATTTGCCGTCACAAATCAGGTGGTCTTTTCTGGCAATTTAACTCAGAGGTAGTCTTTTCTGTCAATTGCACCGTGCAGATGGTCTTTTTGAACAAAAAATCGCTAGGCAAAGCTGCATTGCACTGCACGCACCTCTGTGCGTCATAGGTTGATCGGCCGGCTTGCGACAGGCAGGCAGGCACGAACAAACCCCACCCTCCTTCAAGAGTCAGAGATAGAGAGACGAGCGCGCCAAAGATCTCTCTTCCTAGACCAGAACTGCATCACTGCATCTGCATGGTGGACTTGTGGGCGTACTCCACTCCACTCCTGGTCCTGGGGGACGCGCGGCGTACACCACACGCTCATCCATTGTGCGCGCTCGGCAACGATGTGACCTGAGCGAGGGCGTGGCGAGGGAAGGGATCATCCATCATGTCCCCGTCCCGAATCTCCACGCGGCCCAGAGGAAAGGTACTACTACTACGGATGATGGGTAGCTCCATGGCGCAGGTGTGAGGTAGGGCCGTAGGGGTGATTTCGCATGGACGTCTTGTGTTGGATTCAGTGAGCGAGGCCGAGGTAAAAATAAAAAAAATACTACTCTATGTTCCGACGGTGGGAGGTTAAAAAACGTGACACCCGGAAGCATTTGCATTTCAAATGCCTAACCCGCCTCGGTTGTACCTACTTTTCTTCTTCTAACCAAAGGTAGTACTAGTGGTATTCAATTGATTCCACATTTCTTTCTGCTTTGCGTACATCTTTCTTCTGTTCTTCATTTTGAGATAATAAAGTCGCCCTTTATCAAAAAAAAATCTTTCTTCTGTTCAAGACCTTGTCATGCACCACCACAGTGCACTAGTGCTGGGTACTTGTGTTTGGACTTGTCCGAGGTAATAACAAGAGTCAATTACACCGGTGGTGCTAGAACTTGGCGTGAACGGACACCTTGATGCTAGAAGTTGCGGCATACATCAAAATGGTGCAAAAACTTGGCTTCAACTTGCAAATACGGTGCAACTCTCATTTGTATACGGTTGTGACGGTGATGAGGCATGACACCGTGGCATAGGGCCCACCGTCAGTGACTGCATGGTGAAAACTGGAAGTGTGGCGTGCTATTTTTGCAAAAAAGAAAAAACCTGTGTTTTTTTCTCACGAAAAGGCCCTGACAAGTGTGTGGCATCCAGTCGGTCCCACTTGTTAGTGGAACATCACAAAGTTTATATTCGAATGAAAAATATGCCGCCAATGGATTCGTGCCGGTGACCTCGGCCCAAACTGCGTGCGCAGCTAACCATCAGCCCAGAGCTCAACATGACATAGAAGCATACACACATTTTATATCTTGGAATTAAGTAACATAACTCAAGAATTTTAATCCTAAAAAGGTTTACGCCCATGGGGTTTCGAGCCAGCTACCAAAGTAAAACAATTAGGAGAGCGTGCCACAGCAACTATGTACTCTCATGTGTAAATATAATTGTTACAATTTATGTCTATAATAGTACGTGCTCTTGGGCTACAATTTATGCTATTTTTTCACTTTTCAAAAGTTGTAATGTAGATTGTAAGTGTAAATAATATACATATAAATACAATATATTAGACTAAAACAATGCTCATCTATTAATTTTTAAAAATCCATCAAATTAGATGATGATTAATTGTATAATTACAAAGTTTTGCATATTAAATAAGATATGAAGTAATTTTAGAAAATATGTGTATCTAAAAAAATTATCATATCAGTTCAAAAAAATTACAATTTTTTTAATAAAATATTCATGTTGTATATAATATTGTGCAAGCTTTAATGTTTTTATGTTTTTTTAAGTGTTCGTGCATTTTAATAAAATTTGTGTATTTTCTAAAAACAGGTTATTTATTTTTAAATCAATATAAATATATGCGTAAAAAAACTAGTCTAGTATACCTCGGAGTACAATTTCTGGGTACACTTGACAGGGGCGTTTACCTGAGAAAAAACGAAAAATAAAAAAAATGAGTTTTTTTGGCAAAAAGAGAACACGCGCCCAATCTGCACCATATGGTCACTGACAGCGGGCCCTACGCCATGCTGTCATGCCTCGTCATCTTCGCCGGCGTATACAAACGAGATTTGCACCGTATTTGCACGTTCAAACCAAGTTTTTGCACCACTTTAATATATACCGCAAGTTCTAACACTAAAATGACCGTTTACGCCAAGTTCTAGCACCACCGCTGTAATTGACTCTAATAACAATCACAAGATTTTGCGGGCGTACACAAGGCTGTTACTATCCTATTTATTTGTTTATTTATTTATTTGGCGGGGGAAGGCTGTTGCTAGTAAGAAGGAAGACGTCATTTGTCCTTCTATCTTTTGCACAGCAAATAAAAGAGGACGGCGACACGTACGAGCGCAGTGGAGTTGCTTACTGGCTTCTAGTGACACGCTTTGTTTGTTTTCCAAACGGAGGGGGTCTTAAATTATGGACCCTTTTTTGTTTTTTTACCGACGAATGTAACTACTGCGGGGAAAAACTGGAGTGGTACTACCAACGGAGCCATACATGCATAAATAAACCGTGGAGGACAAGGAATTTATTTAGCACTAATCGAGCTCCCAGAAACGGGTGGAAATCTAATACTTGATAGAAGAATATGAGATGGTTCAAGTCATTTCAAATTAAAGCTGCGACTCCTGCTCCTGCTCCTGCTCCTGCTACTGCTACCACACCAGGAGAGAGACGCTAAATCATAGTTATCTCTCTAGCTAGAAGCGGAAAGAAAGTGCATAGATCGAGAGAAAGAGAGAGGGAGACTTACAAGTCAGTCAGTCAGAGGGGGCGGACGCGAGGACGAGCCATGGCGCCATTGTTCCCCTCCCCGGTAGGAAGCACAAGAGAAGCAGAAGCAGAAGAAGAAGAAGAAGAAGATGTCGACGGTGGAGTGAGTGACGAAAGAGAAGAGCCCCCTTCCTCGGTTCCTCTTCTACTACTGGAACTGGACACAGAGAGAAAGAAGGAAAGAGACCCGAGCCGAGCTCTGCATATATAGCTCCTCTGACTCGTTGTGTCGTCAAAGCCAAAGCTTCCTTCGGCCCCAAGGGCAGGGGCCTTCATCCCAGCCGTCTAGCTGCAGGCACAGGTCCAAAGGGCGGTCCAGATGAGGCCAATGTCGTGCTCGCCGGGTGGGGGCAGTTGAATGTAATTAATTGTTACAGGACGGCTTTGGCTTTATTAAGGGCGTCATTTATTTATACCCACGGATGAGCCAGCATTCGAACGGAACACCCGGGCTACCATCCAGATTTCCGCCTGAAAACAGTTCCGAGCTCATTCGAATTCCATCACCGGAATTCACGAGTTTCCTGAACAAATGCAGTGCCGGCAACCAACCACTCTGGAGACCAGTTTTCAATGGCGCCTTCCAAGAAAATGATTTCTGTCAAATGGGCTTATCATCAAACAGAGCAGATGAGCATTTGAACCGAGTGCCCGGGTTGCCACTTGCAAGCCGGAATTGCGCCAGAATATTTCAAGGTTTCAAACTTCACAATCCGATCTCGCCAATTTCCTGAATACATAAATGTAGTGCTGCCATTGGCAGCAACTCTGGATATCAATCTTATATGGCTGTACAAAATGCCCTCAACTCAAATCAAATAATATGAACTCTTGTCAAATCAAACCCTAAAATTGGCAAACATTACACACATGGAGCTTTGCTACTTAGTTGCTATATCTTTTACGTACATGTCAGGCTAAACACATGGTGTTCTGTTCGACTAGTGTGATTAGGTCACACGTTAACCTCTGATAATTAATTAATGTCTCAGCTTAGGGGGCGCGCCGACCGGTAAACAGCAAAGTGAATCAAAAAGTTGGAAGCATGATACAACATCATCATCTCTCTCCTTGGGAGGAAATCCTTCTATTATGCCTGTTTGTCAACCCTACCGACGATCTCTACTATGCGCGCTTTTCGTGTTGTCTTCCCCATCGTCCTCAGCATCGCACTGCCCGGACTCGGGCTCCGAGACCTCGCCGGGGCTCCGCTTCTGGCCGTCCTCCCCCGCGCCGTTGTCAGAGTCCATCGGCACCGCGCCTTCCTCCTGGTCGCCCCCGCTGCCGCCGCCGTCTGTCTCGGGCGTGGCCGCGGCAACCTTCACGCAGCCAAGGCATAAGATGCATATTACGGGTTATGGTAGCCCAGATATGCGCCAGATGATGCCCTAGGTACCTGTGGCTCCTTGGGGTGAGCTGAAGTGCCTCTTGTGTCTTCCCGTTTAGGCCGTTTGGCCTTCTCGCCTGGCTTAGAATTGAATTTGGCGCGGACGTCGGGTGGCAACAGCTCGGGAGGTACAACACCTTCGATCCCGTAGTCACAAAACTGAAATAAGGCGGTAAGCATTAGTTAGCTCATGATAAAACATGGCAAACTAGACATGGATTTTGTGCTCGCATGCTCATGGAGGTTCAAAATCGTAGTATTCCATTCATTTATTTTGGTGAGAAAGCATGTGAACTAGCAAAAAATTATGCAAAATATGCCCATTGGTGAGCTGTATAAGACACGATGAATGACTAACATATTGTACAAATTTGGTTCTCTTGTAGAGCACATAAACATGCATACTGTTTTTGCACAAATGTTTGCTAGCACACAATATTTTTCGCAAATACAAATATTTATTTCCACATTTTTCTTTGAAATTTCAAGTAGAAGTTCTTCATTAAGGAACATGTGCATGAATGTCAATAATAATAGTAATAAATACAAGTAAAAGAGACTGTAATAGTAACAGCATAATACATACTCGAGAAAATCCTTCCAGATCTTGTCTGGCTTGAAACCGTAAACCTTTCCAGCAATAAACCTGTTTTAAAAAAAGATGCTTTTGAGACCATTATACATATTCAAAAGAAAATTACAATGATGTTTCTGGCATCAGGTCATATATGCAAACCCAAAAATAACACTCTTGAAATCAGTGTCCATGAAATGAGAACATCGTTTCATGAGCACTCCACTGAGCCACTGATAAAAGTTTCTGCCTAATGTGATTTGAACCACCCTGTCTTGGTGTGGGACAAGATCCGTTACCAGTCCAGAACTACATCATGTTCTATACAGAGAACAGTTCATAACAGCATTGTGTCAGGTAGATCATGCTACCTGAATTTTAATAACTGAGGATACATCATACACGTGCCTGATTCCAAGTGTTTTTTTTAATGAAACATGTAAGCACGATAACACTACAGTTCCCAGCTTAATCCCCACACATATCAGCAAATATGAGAAGGGAGAATTTCTATGGCATCTGCAGAACTGATGATAGACACAAAGATTATTATTATTAATTCATTTTTAGCACAACTTCCTTGGGAGAATAATATGTTTTGGTTCAATGGAGAGCTGGGTCCCATTTAATAAATTCTTTGCACCAACTCCATTTTTAGGTATGGATGACTTAAGCGCAGGGATCCAGCAAAGTTCCTCACTAGAAACTTCTACTGGCAGCCACTCAAGAACGTAATAGGGCTGGGATTTGAACTTACACGATTATTTTTGTGGTGATACTCCTCCTCAATTCCAGCAGATGTGTCCATCTGCAATTTTACATTAAAAACTCAATACTAGAGGAATATCCTGATAAGTTATTGTACATAAAAAAATGATGAATGCATCAGAGGTGCAAAATAACCATGAAAGAACCATTTAGTGCTTACATCTTCTGCAAGTGGTTTCCAATATTCTGTAACTGATGGCATGCGGACTCGGTCAGAGTCAGTCAAAGCATCCTGCAGTTCCAATGCAAATGAGATGTGGGTTGCAAAAATTTGAACCTTCAAAAATTGTATGGCCAAATAAGGTAACTCAAGGCACATACAGGTAATTGGATGATTATTTATCAATACTGTGTAGGCCATTCAACTAACAGGGCAGTGACTTGCAGCAAATTTGTACAAGGCCCCTGTCCTGCTGAAATGTTACCCATTCAAACTCATATTTCTTATGTAGAAGAAAATTTGGACAGTAAGAAAAAGTAAGTTTTTCAATACTCTGCCAGAACAAAAAAGGGCCTAAAAGGCTAAAACCAACGGATTTTGCGGTTATACTAATAGTAACCAGCCAAATAGGATAATAGCGAGAATTTGTAGCTTAAAACGTACAGGGTTTAATTCTGCCCATTTCCACAGTTGCGCAAGTTCCTTGTTTCCCAATCTCCACCTTGGCTTACTACATTGGAAGAAAACAGTAGAGTGGAAACAGCTTAAAATTAGTACAGTGAAAACAGTAGAGCATGACATAGTAAGCTCTCATATTAGAAGAGTGAAAACAGCTTAAACTTCTATCACCGACCTAGCCAGCATTGCACAACATAATAAGCTCTCAAATTACAAGAGTGAAAATAGCTTAAAATCTATCACCGACATAGCCAGTATTTACTTTTGCCCTATACCTTCATTTTATCACAAAATAAGGCTAGTAAGTATTGGATTTATACTACAAAACTGTTAAGGAAATAGGAAGTGTGTTAGGTCAAATAATTTATGCAGCATTTTATCTGTAAATTTGTCAAATGGTTACTGTTTACCTAGACAAATCTAGAACACAAAGTTACAATGAGACAATCGATATCATTATCCATTCCTGGATCCTCCACTGTAGAAAAATATCATATTTGGCAGGATTTTGCAGAATATAATACCCAACATGGATTACATAACCCGTCTAACTACATTAATTAACATACATACTACTGACATTTGATATGAATGCTGATGAAACTGGTCAATTACAAGCTTCGCGCAAGACAAAAATGAAAAGTTAATCAAAAAGTGGGTACTAAAATTTCTTAATAACTGCAATAGATTACCATACTCTCAAACGATTCTTGATTGCTGGGCAAAAATAATGATGAACAGACTAATGTGAGATAAGCTAGACGTAAAACTTCATATGCTTGCTTCATGACAGTTCACAAAAAGGTGCTTGCCGCTAAAATGCACCCGGTTACATACACCTGACTCTGAAGGAACTAACAGACACTACATAATTATCAAGAAAGTGCTTAACCAAATATACAAGTACTCACTAAAAACATGGTCGATGCATGCAGTTTTGTTGGTTAATATTAAAATGATTTCTGCTTTCAAACAGTTATACACTTACACACGTTCTGCTCGACTAAGCACACTAGCAGCAACACAAATAACAAAAAAATCAGAAAACATGTAAATGCCTGGAGAAAGCAAAGTAGCACACCGTTTTCTGGCTCCAGCTTGACCTGACTTCTTTTCAAAAGGTTGTTTTTCAAATGCTGGACATCCATCTCTCTTCCACCATACCTTTTCAAAATACAAGCAGAGGGATGAGAAGTGGTGGTGAAAATCCTGCAACGGAAGTATAACACTACTACACTGCAGCAAAGTATATACCCAGTTTTTCTCCCGCTCAAGAATATGCTCGATGCTTTGTAGGAATTCTTTCCCTTTCGGTGGAATCATCTCCAGAAGATTCTTGACACGCTCTTCACAGGATTTGATTTCCTCTTTCTGATTAAACGGGGACAAGAGATAAAATTGTCAGAATTAATTCTTAACTGAACGATGGATTAATAAGCCCCTCAAAGAAACCAATAAGACTAGTACACTAATACTAGTCTTATACTACAACTATGGCCCAGGTTACTTGTATCAGGCACTCAGAGACTGGCAGTTGGTACTGGTAACAGTTGACCCAATTACCACTAACCAGGGACTTCATGCTAGCACAACTTACAGATGGAACTTTCAACAAAAATAATTATATTTGAACCCTTTATGTTAAGCATGCACCTAAATTGGAGGCCAAACTGAACAATGTGATTTTGTTTCTTACCATGCTCTCGGATGGACCTTCCTTGTCAGTCTTTCCAGGCGCCTGATGTACAGAATAATTATGTCAGTGGTCCACACCTCACAGATAGTAGCAGGCTAATCAACGACAGGAAATTGAGCTGAAATAACAGGGAAAAAGGAATACTGTTGTCTATGATGATTGCAAGATTGTGCGAGTATATTCCAGTTCATACTTCACTACCCAACAATAAGTTAGCTTGATAGTCCACATTAGTTATAACTTTCCTTTCAACTATTGCCAGATGCATGTCAGCATTCTATGGCATGGGACATATACTCCCTCCGTTACTAAATATAAGTCTTTTTAGAGATTCCACTATGGACTACGTACGAAGTAAAATGAGTGAATCTACACTCTAAAATATGTCTATATACATCCACATGTAGTTTGTAGTGGAATCTCTAAAAAGACTTATATATTTAGGAACGGAGGGAGTAATAAGCAACAGGTAACAGCAGCAACTATAAGTGACAGAAATGCTGTTCTATCAACTATGCGCATAGTTACTCTTAGCTAGGTACATGAGAAAGTTAGCGAGTGTATCCCCTTCTCAACAGTGTCGTTCAAAATAGCTGGCCAGTGTGGAACACAAGGAGATGAGACTTGCATGGAAGAGAGAAAGCGGAGAAAGAAGAAATTTATTGTAATGGCACATGCAGCCCACGTGCAGTCACATAGCAGCATAATACTGATTTGGACAGAGGACAGGAACTGTGCATATAAATAAACAGAACAAGGATGCAACGAAATTTAAGAAGATTTACAGGGAGAAATGCTATTTTTTGCTTTGGTAGCTATTCAGAATACAAAAACATGCTGCCTATCACGGAATGGACAGACAATGGGAAACCCCTAAATGCTTGGAAAAATTGAACAAGAATGTACAATAGGCACAAACTGATGTTAGATTGCAACCTAAACGCAAACTATGTGTACCTTGAGATAGTCAAAAAATATAAGGCATTGGACAAGGATGTGGCGTCGAAAACTTGCGTCTTTCAACTGCATATAAAGAATGTTATACGGTTATACAACAGTGAACAGTCACCAAATAAACTAGCGTCAGATGCTCAACAAGAATTACCTCCAAACCCATCAATTTACTGCTAGTAAGGTACTTAATATTGAAAGCAGCATCTTCCTCTTGCTCAAGATTATTATGTTTCCCGTCAGCATCGCTGAGAGGCTGAGCTTCAAATGTGCTCAACACGACCTGAAATTTAGTTATTAGCATCATCAGAAGTTCAGAACAGAAACATTGAACAGGAAAAGGTAAAAGGCTGCATGTCATGGAAAAATGAAGGAGAGTGTACCGTTAAATTAGACGCAAACTTTTGCCATTTTGTTGGATTCGTAGTAGTCAAAGCTGGGTTCCTGAAATGCTCCTAGAATGGAAATAAAACCCAAAGTTAAGAACTGAACCAATCTCACTTGAGAAATTAAAGGGTGGCATAATGATGATTTTGAATCCCAGAGATTAACAAGTACAATATATCAACCTGCAGACTCCACAGGGTCTGGTAGAAGTTGAAATCAACAGAAATTCCTGAGAAACAAAGGTGCATTAGGAAATGCTATCATTTACAATACACATGCATGAAGATAGGAAAGAACAGGGTATATTAATTATTTTTATCAGGACAATTGTACTAACCGTCAGTGGCATCTTTCTCATACTTAGTTTCATTTGATGTGTTGAAAACTCCCTTGATATTGAGAGCTGATAAGTAAAAATAGGAGAATAAAAATAAGCAGTGTACCCAGAGGACAGTTATAATTCCTTGACAATAAGGAGCCAAACTAGCTAGACTAGGGGAAGATGTAATATGCAAACCTGAACGCTCCGACAGCGGGAAGAAATGTGCCAGGAACATGATAATGCGTCCGCAGAACACCACATCGTTCGACTGAAATTTCATAGTATAGAAAATATGAATGCTAGTAGAGAATACAAACTTTGTATCAGATGAAACTCCAAGAAATAAAACTAGTGCTGTTGAGAAGCTCGCTGAAGGTAATAGTCGAAAACTTTTCACTGATAAGGCCCATAACATTTATTACACAATAAAGTTATCATTGGCAAAGCAAGTATCCAACAATTTCAGTTTGGTAGTAGATAAAACCACCCAGCAGTCTCAGTTTAATCAGTAGTATGATAACTACAACAAATTAGCTAAAGATTACAGAATCAAATAACCAGACTAACCTTTGAAAGTCTTCGAAGTAGTTGGTTGCAAGTCCTCAGCATAACCAACTTGCCACGCCCAAATAGCTCTTGCTAGAAATAACCCAAAAAATCATTTAGCAAAACCATGAAGATACATTATGTGAATCATACCACCACCACAAACCATTAAAAAATGAGTGCAATTCGCAAATTCAGAATTACCTTCCCCAAGACATCCTGCTTGCTCTCAATATACCCAAAGACATCTTTGCAGTCTTTGATAGTTGACATGTCTGTCAGATCTTCTAACAGCTGGAATACCATACCACCCTCAACATGCCCTCTTTCACAAAGGTAAAGCATGATATCTGACATGGCAAGAGTTTGATTTATCAGAATAAAAACAAACACCATGCACGCACTCAGAAACTGATGTGGGTAATAAAAATATTTGGACAAGACTGGTGAAAGGATTGTGACTGACCAAGAAGACGTGTTATCAGGCAGTTACTTTCCCCGCTATCCAATGAGTTTCCATACTGCATAATTCCTTTACCCGATTGAACTGCAGATGACTAGAGTAAAATTATGAAACCGAATCAGCAATCAAGATTTGCTTCTAGGATTAATGATCGGCAAATAAAAAGTGCATCAATTGCTATCACTTCCTAATAGGGCAATTTGCAGACAGTTATCAACCATAATAATAAAGAAACATTTAGTGGACCGTTTATATATAGGCGGGACAAGAACTGATCCATTGTGTTAGGTTCCAACGTTGAGACTGTTGCCCATAAAACTGAAATTTGTTTATCAAGTTTGGGATAGCTCAACGCATATGCCATGTGGTCAGAAAACTGAAAATGTGCACATCACTTTGCAACAGAGACTAGTGTAGCCTTGTCTGCGTTAAAGAAGCTTACCACAAGTTCCTGCAGCAGCCTTCGAAGAGCATTCTCCAAGGTCTGGTTCTCCTCTAGCACCAGCACCGTTTGCTTCTGCCAAATCGGATGAGAAACCGGGTTAAATTACACGCCTATTGCATTTTATAACAAAACACAGCTCAGGGATTACCAAATGCAAACGAATCTGGCTGTGCGGTGTATACAGACCTGAGGCTTAATCGCTTCCTGAACCGCCTGGAGGGCGAAAGCTTCGGGGGCCTCGTTCCTCGACAGCGCGGTCCGGAACACTCCCTGCGACCAAGCAAACGAGTCGAATTTTAGGGGAACTGGCCGAAGCGCCTGGTGTACGAGATGGGGGAGGGGGGAGAGAGGGGGGCTCACGATGATGCGGTCGCGGTCGGCGTGGCTGGAGACGGCGGCGGGCGCGGAGGGAGAGGAAGTAGGCGCGCGGTCCTTGGCGAGGAGGACCCGGAGGCCTTTGTTGGACGGCGGCGGCGGCGGCGGCGGCGGCGAGGGCTCCGCCATGGGGAGGGGGGCGAGTCGCTGGTAGGGTTCAGGGACAGAACAGGTCGCTCCTCTGGTTCGAGGGACGGACGAGTCGGACCGAACGGCCCGCGCCTCATCTCACTTGTAAAGTTTAATTATTATTTTTACAGTGCAGATGCAGATGTAATTTTTCGATTGGGACCAAATTCACGTTCCACACAATGACACAACCACTTCACATTTGTGTGCCTTTTGCTTTTATTTGCATTTTACCTCTCAATTTTGCTGTTGTTATTCATTTTTCCTGAAATCTTAAAAGCGCACGCGCACTTTGTGGCGAGAGCGAGCGGCCGACTCCTAGCCGCATGATTGCGCCACGATCGCAACGCGCGCGGGCCAGGTGCCACTTGGTCGGGATGGCCCCCGCCGCTGTCGTGGGTGGTTTTGTCCCTGCCCGGACAGGAGGGAGGCCCACCTGTAAGCTGTATGCAGAGATCGTGGGCGGCGGTTTTGAAACTCGAGCCGGTTTTCCTCTCCTCCTCGTTGCTCTCTCCCCATTTCTCTTCCCTGCTTCCTCATTTCTCGTCACGAATGGAGCCTGATAGGGGCAGAGGCGGGGCGGAGTTCTCAAATCGGCGGCGTGATTCCTTGCGACGCTCGCGCGGGGTCGGTGTTCCTCGTTGGTGTTGCAGGTACCCAGCTATCTGCCTTATCTCTCTATATCGGCAATTTCGTTTTGTTTACGTGGTGGTGGCAGACGGGGAGGGGTTTCGGATTTCTAGGGTTCCAATGTCATCAAATGCTTCGCAAGTTTGATTTGATGTAGATGTATTCTAGTACCAATGGCGGGGATTCATGGCACATCTCCTTCGATTTGATGTTCTCTGGTAGCACAGCCACAGAGGTGGCGGTGATTCATGACACAGCGGCGTGTGTGGTCATGACACGGCTGTGGCGCGGGGGTTAGTGCCTCACGCCTTGTTTTGGTGTACCACGGCAGCACTTTTGGTTTCTACTTTACATGATGCTAAGCTACATGTACGCCACACTTTTCGGGATGATGAAAGTGGCAATAACACCAAACAACGAGATAGCTTATGGATTGTCCTTCCTTATCTTCATATTTTGGTTTGGAACATCTTCTCCGGCTTCATGATCGGGAGAGTGGTATGGCTCTCACTCTACCTACGATTAACACCCCCCCCCCCTCTCATATTTTTCACTATAACTACAATACATACTTGAGAGAACATGCGAAAATTAGGGTCATGGAATCCCAAATAACCCCTCAATAGAGTCCATATTTCATTAAAAAAAACTTCATATTAATATATTACCCACTCTAATCACCCTCATCACTACTCACTGCTTAATTATGAACTACTTATTCCAAATCATCTAACTTCCCGGCCGGTCACCCATCCTCTCACTACTTCAGCCTGAGCACACTTAACTTTCGAGTTCTATTCCCCCTAGTTTCTAAGTCTGTACTAATTGTTTTTCTGCCAATACTAAGCTGTCAATCCTATTAACCGTTAGGAGTTGAACTTGAGCATTAAGCACCATTTGAGTTTGAAACTATTATTCTAAAAAACAATAGTTATTTAGTAACACATTTTGACCAGATTTGACCACAGTTTGACCAAAAGTCAAAAAAACTAAAAGTAATTATTTATTAACACTAATATTTCTTGAATAAGTAGTTTGACCACAGTTGGACCAGATTTAACGAAAAGTCAAAAAAATTGAAATTTGAGTATATCTTTTTTCCTTTCAGAATTTGAGGATTCTAAAAATTTGCAAACAGGCCTACGGTCGTCAAAATCGGATGCAGATTTTCGTACTGATTTTTTTTGATATATTATGCTTTTTTTGACATCGTATGCAAAAGATATGACCGTTTTACTTTTTCATAACATTTTTTTGCAAAACATGTCCAAATTTAAGTTTTAAATTTTCCTAACTAGTAGATGTAGTAACATAACTACATCTCGAAGGATTTTGATTTTTGAAGTTTTTATCATTTTCTTTTCTTTTTTACAAAACTGAAAAGGCGATACACAGGGGGGGTAGAGTTTGAACCTGTTTGAGGCACGAACCGGGACTAAAGGACATTGCACCCTTTAGTCCCGGTTCGTGTCTCAAACCGAGACTAAAGGTCTCCCGGTTTGAGACACGAACCGGGACTAAAGGTCCCATTTGAACTGGGACTAATGCCTTCCCGACGCCTTAGCCGCTCGAACCGGGACTAATGCTCACATTAGTCCCGGTTCGTGATGCAACCGGGACTAATGTGTATATTGAGTTTGGACGAAAGCCCTATTTTTTACTAGTGATTAGATGTAACTTTGTTAATTTTCACGCAGACA